GATTGTTTGACTGAAACAAAAGGCGGCCAGTCTAGAGGACCTTTCATTACACCGTTACAAGGTAGCGTTTTCTGTCACCAAGTCTATGAAATTGATGCTTGAACTAGTCGATTATCCGAATGGCTGTGGATGGATTTGATTAAGCTAATGATCAGGAATAGTAGCTAATCTTCTTTGGTCTCAGTTGATCCCACGTTCGGTAATCTGTTGGTTTATCCAATTGATCGTGAGCGTTTTCAGTGTTGCGAAAACATTTCCGCGACGAATCATCGGATTGTCAATTGGTCGCTGTGCGAACGATCTCACTTGCAGCCAAACCAGAAATTGACCTTATGGTTAGAATTACTTTTGGAATCGTTTCACTTCGATGATTGCTTATATACGTTCATTCTGTTCCTTTTGTTTTCGGTCGTTTGAATTTTGTGTTCTGTTGCGATTCACCGAGTTAATTTTGTGAGCTGTGACTGCAGGTTGAGATGGCGTTAGGCAGCGCAAGTACAAAGGTACGGCGTGCTGCACTCTCAAGACTAGCCAAGGATGTCGATCTGAAGGCGTTATCAATAGCGCAACGTATGGAACTGTTGAAGTTGATGATGCAATCCAGAGAGCGTAAGTCCAGCTTTTTTTGAGAAATACCTAATTTTGTCCGTATGAGACGTCAGTCGGGTATCTTGTTGGATTGAAGTGGTTTTTGGTAATATACAGTGAGTTTTGTAAATTTTGAGTTTTTGAATCATTTGAGAAGATTTTTGAGCCTAACTGAGTGTTTGTTTAATGAATTTGTTGAGTGCAATTCGAATGACATTTTCAGCCTCAATTCATTGTGATGCACTGAATGAGATGTTGAACGAGTGGTTAACCGGTGCGACAGATCGAGAGAGTAATCTGTCAGATGACGACGTGATTGATACAAGTGAATATTGTTTTGCTTCAACAAAATTGTTGCGCTTTTTGGAACCGTTCAACGACGAAAAGGTGAGAGAACATCCAGTTATAATTCAGTGTATGAAGATGGTATTTTTGACGAACGTATAAAGATACATCAATGAAGATTTTCTGCGAATATAATGTTGATATCTGATCACAAATGACTGACGGAATCATTTTGGAAATATTTTTTGAAGTGTATGAAATAA